TCTTTCATCAACTTTCACAAATGACACCCATTGTGGGATATAGTGTGAATAGTAATGATAACAAATACATTCACACCTTAACATATTGAAGTGTGTTTTTCTATGCCTGGTTGCCCTGTGCCTGTTCACAGTTAAGCACTGGTTCACATATATGCGGCCATGCGGATTTTGCACAGGCATGAGAGCCCAATCATTGGAATGGACTTCCATGCCCCTTGACACGCAGGGAAGAAGTCCCTGCACTTCTTCTGAAAACGCAGCTCGCACGGGAACCTCGGTTTCCAGTACAGTTGTGTTTTCCAGTGCGGGCGGCATGCCATTAGAACTAGTGGCACCTGCCACAGGTCCGCATTTCTCTGTGTGGGTGGTGCGGCGGCAGATCCACAGCGGCACCACCTGCACATATGTGAACCAAGTCTTAATGCTTAGTAGTTTGTAGCTTGAAACTCTAAGCTCAAAGAAGAACGCTCTTCTCAGGTGTGAATGCAGGCTAAAGGTTTGTAATTGGGCAGTTTTTTTTTCTCCTTCAAATCAATCAATGCATCAGATGTTTCCAGGTCTTTGTACATAAATCATTGAAGAATTATTAAATATTGCAAGTTTTTCCAACTAGTACATTGGCATCAGCCAGGGAAACATTTACCGTTACATTATTTAGACCATTTACATTCCCAAGCACCTACATTTTTAAATCTGCGATGCCGCCAGCTCCAGGTTCTATAGGAACAATTCTGTGAGTATCATTTTCGGGAAGTGCACGCACAGCTCAGCTCTGGAGAAGGGGGTGCGCCCCCGAAATGCATCAGTTGCATGTCTACATGGTTTCCACTTCCATCAGTTGCATGTCTACATGGTTACAATGGCTTCCACGTGGCTTCCATTCACCCACAGTGATCTTGTGTTTTCAACGTTATTTCTTCATTTACTTTTGTGAGTATCCACTCAGCATTTATTGGATTTCATCAAATAAATCACTGGTATTGCACCAGCATACCTCCCAACATTCTGAGATGGGAACAAGGGACATCTATTAGCAAATGTGTGTAGGCATAGGACACCCCCCCCCCCCCCCCCCCCCCCCCCCAGCACACCCTTAAAGGAAAATTAGACAAAAAAAGATTAGTTAAACCCACAAGTGCTTTTTTTTTACCACTACTATTCCTTTATATTGGCTTTTGACGTTTACAAATGTAACAATTTAGAAAGGCATAACACTTTTTTAAAGAAAAGTAGTGTGTTTCCTATACAAATATATATCTGACCAAAATAAGGGACAAATGAAGGACTTTGTTCCAAATCAGAGACATTCCCTCAAAATCAGGGATAGTTAGGAGATATGCACTAGGTGTTTGCGCCATCCTGTTATTTTTTTCTCTGTAGTTTTCACATTCAGCTTTAGTACCGACCAGGAGTACGTATGCAAGGGTGGCCTCATAGGAATTTGCAAAGGAAAGGAGCCCCCTAAAACCAAAAAGCAGGGACAGCGCTCAGGAGACTAGCTGATTCTGCAGAAAACTAAAATCTTGAGAGCCCATTCACAGAACATGCATTGGGCCAACACATAGACAGGACAATCTGCTTTAGGTCCTATTAGTACATGTCACACTAACTTAGTACATTAGTGTGTGCTAAAAAAACATTAGGACATGCTGCATTAATACACAGCACGGTAACATTGCATCACACACCCCCTATTCAACGCATGCCCAGGGGTGCACATTATACAGAGCATAACACCCACCCGCTGGTGTGAATAGGCCCTTAAAGCACAATTCAACCCAAAAACAAAAAATTTAAATATTGCAGCTTATTAGTCTTTAGGAGTGGTGGCTGATTTTTTTTTCCTGCATTTTCTTTTATATTTTCACCAGGTGATCCTGCCACACAATTCCCATCCTAGGGTGATAACGCTCATATACACCACTGTATCTACAGAGGAGCAGTGTGACCACCCTAGGCGGCTGGCCTGGTTTGGACTATAAAATAACCTCCTCTCATCTCCATCACATAGGGAGATGTTGATTTGTACCCCACTGATAATAACTAGGAAATCTGATAACACTGTTTGTGATATCAGTTTACTGTACAGGAAGATCAACAGGTATTTTGTTTTTATATTTTTAAGAAAATTTAATTAGCCCCCCCCCCCCCAAAAAAAATATATTACAGCCACCACATTTAAGGACTGACAATCTGGAATATAATGTATTTTATTGTATTTGGTTTTAGATATTTAGAGCACCAACAATTTTTGCAATTCTTTATATATTGTACATTCACTGCCCTCAAGGAGCTTACAATCTAAGGTCTCTATCTCACATGCATGCGTACACACGAGCTACAGCAAGTTTAGACAGGATCCAATTAACCTACCAGCATGTCTTTGAAGTTTGGGAGGAAACCAGAGCACCCGGAGAAAACCCACACAACCGCAGGGAGAACATGCAGGTAGTGTCCTGTCCAGCATTCGAACCTAGGATTCTACTGCTGTAGGGCAGAAGTGCTACATATTTGCACATAAATCATGAAACAGTAAAGCCAATTCTTTTTGTTTTCAATTTTTTTATAGTATAGAATGATTGGACCTGTTCATGTCCATTTGGGATAATTTTTCTTTAATCCCTCCCTGGTTAGAGCATTACACAAAGTGAGAGGGTATCTCATCAAAGGAAGAGAAAACGTCTGTGGTTAATGGAGTTCCTATAGGAAGATCTCCCCTCTATTTAAGTGACAACTTAAAATGTTGTATATTAGAAGGATGGAGGCTGGTGTTGTTGACATGAAGTGAAAATGATTTTACAGAGACATATGCACTTCCCAGCACACTTCAACACTGGGAAAACCTAAACTGCTAGGATTGTGTTAAACTGCCATTCCATCAATACTTTATAAATCATGCATTTGGAAGAAGTAGGAAATCAGAAAGGCCAGAGAAAAGTCAAAAAGCTTATCTGAATTCTTTTTCTGGATCAGTGACTGAAGGCATTGAAGAGGGTCAGCATGCGCCTTGGTACCCGATAGGTGGGATCCTCAGCTTTCCCAGAAATTCTCCAGACTAATATGTAGATCTGGATGATGGAGAGCAGGGCAAGATATAGAAGCAGCCATAGCATTGCACTGTTGGCTCACTCTTGGGCCTCATTCGCATGGGCATACCTAAGCATACACCAATGTGAGGGCTGTGTTTAGCCTGCATGGGATGTACAGGTGTTGTATGCTCTTGCAGTGCCATTCATGACAATTGGAGTGCAGCGGCTACACAGACACAGCCATTACTCCCTGTTTGACATCCGTGTGGGTGCAGGTGCTTGTCCCCGAACGCAGACAGTGTGGGTTCATGTTGATGGGCATTTTAATCAAACGCGGAGCAGAAACGGCTGATTTTGACCTGCTTTGCCTGAAGTGGGAACACAGTAATAGGACATGCTGCATCTAAAAAAATGCAGTGCAATGTAAAACAGGTCAAATGTAGCCTCTGCACAACGATGTGCTATGTGTACCGCTCAATGAAAGTCTGCACAACTATGTGTACCGCTCAATGAAAGTCATTTTGCTGGCTTGCACTTGAGGTGCATTCCAGATGACCTTCAAATGCAGGAAAACACCTTGTCAACATGATGGACCATCCAAGCAAACCATCCAAGAAAATGGAAGGTCCACTTGACTGCCTGTCCCGCACCCTCCGAACGGAAATAGTTTTATAGTAAACCCTCAAAACTTTGACAAACAAAAATATAAAATAAATAATATTCACTTCAACCATAGAGTTCAGTGACTCCAGGAGGCATGAGTGATGTCATTGTGCTTCTCCCTTAAGAACATACTAGAAACCGTTGACTTTAAACAAGAAGCAATTGACTTTATACATTGAGTAACAACCTGAAGAAGATGGAAATGTGCTAGAAAACAACAGTGCTGGTATTCTACAAGCTTAACATTCTTCATATATCCGTTCCATCAGCAACTAATAATTTCATGTTGGTTTCTCTTGGCACTAGTTACCATCATGAACAGATTGCCATCATCTTAGAAGTCTGTTCCTACATCCATGGCTGCTAGCCTTTGCTAGTAGGCTGTGTTTGAAGCTCTATTCTGTTACAAAAGTTTGAAGATAGCTAATTAGAAGAAATGTAATATGGTAAAATGGCAGATCACTGTACCAAAGGAAGACTCTTTCTCGAAATATAATTAACTAGATCTCTCACTGCAGTTCTTTGTATGCTGTAACACTGATGCACATGTCAAAACCATACACTACCCTGGGGCGTGTTAGGAAATCAGTAGGCCTATGTACAAAATCATAAGTTGGGCTCCACCAATTGATTAAAAACATACTGTGGGGTTTGTGCGCCACAGTAAAGAGTGGGCATGGTTTTCATTGTGCCAGGGGCATTGCTAGGATTGTAAGACCTGGGGCACCTTTGGGCACACAAAGCAGAAGAGTACAGGCAGTCCCCGAGTTATGAACATCTGACTTACATATGACTCGTACTGAAGAATGGAGGCAGTGTGATATCACGTTGGTCATGGAAACCGCCAGGTGGCCACCTTGCTGCTCACCGAGTGTTGCCACGTACTGTCCAACAGATCTGCCAGCAATCCCACATCACTGCATGGCTAGTTAACCCTTCCCTATGCTATCCAAATTGTAAAAATTATTTTTAGCTGGAGTTACACTTAAAAAATTTACCTGTTCCAACATACATACAAATACAGCTTAAGAACAAACCTACAGAACCTATCTTGTTCGTAACTCGGGGACTGCCTGTACTGTGGTGCACATACAGTGTACAGTGGGTGTGGCCAAATTGTGTTAATGGTGGGAGAGGCTTATGAGTCATGGTTATATAGGGAAAAAAAGCCTTCTTGTACCCAAAAAATGTGCTTAGATTGCTGTGCCACAAGTAGCCTCACAGACATGTATAAATCTCAGCACAATCATTTAAAAAAAAAAAAAAAACTCTTCCATTACATATGATTTTGGGTACACCGAAAATAATCAGAGAGCTAAAACTTTGTCTGAGCCAGGGGTGGACTGACCAATAGGGTCAGTAGGGGGCCCAAGGGACCAGGGTCAGTAGGGGGCCCCATGAGATGCCCCTGGTACCTTTCATAGGCTTTTTTGGGTGTGGTTTGAGTGTGGGCGAGGGCACAGGGGCCCCATGATCCCCTATTGCCCGGGGGCCCCATGAGTCGTCAGTCCGCCCCTGGTCTGAGCATATCAAAAGTGGTTGTAAACCCTCACATACTGTATACCCAGTGAAATGACTGGCGTCAGGTGATACACAGATAAAACAAAATCTCCTGCATAAGTTGTACCTGTTTATCTACAACCATCATTTCCCTACATATATTCAAAGTGCAGAATTTACACAGGATCTCTCAGCTCTGATAAGCAGGGGGTGGGGAGCTGAAGTTACATCAGTGAGGAGAGCTCTGAGAGCTGATTGAAGGGAAGGGACAGACCCCCTTCACACAGCACACAGGAGCAGAGCTGAGGCTTGCATTCTGCTGGCGCTTCCTTCCATCGTCTTTTTTCTCTTGGCGTCAGGAAAACTGTTTATAGCAGAGGAACGAGGCAGCACACAGCAATGACACTTAGTGCTCTGGATTCAGACAAGCACACACTATAGAGGGATATGCTTTGTTATTTCATGTTTGAATTTTATAACCACTTTAAAGAAGAATTTCATTAAAATAGTCAGGGACTGCTTAACTTCTAGCGACTGTTCAGACAATGAACATTTTGGTCAGATGTATGTAATGTCTAACATAGTGTATATAGTGCCGGAGGCTGTAATGTACAATATAGTGTATATAGTGCCGGAAGCTGTAATGTACAATATAGTGTATGTAGTGCAGGAGGCTGTAATGTACAATATAGTGTATATAGTGCCGAAGCTGTAATGTACAATATAATGTATGCAGTGCAGGAGGCTGTAATGTACAATATAGTGTATGTAGTGCAGGAGGCTGTAATGTACAATATAATGTATGCAGTGCAGGAGGCTGTAATGTACAATATAGTGTATACAGTGCAGGAGGCTGTAATGTACAATATAGTGTATGTAGTGCAGGAGGCTGTAATGTACAATATAGTGTATGTAGTGCAGGAGGCTGTAATGTACAATATAGTGTATGTAGTGCAGGAGGCTGTAATGTACAATATAGTGTATGTAGTGCAGGAGGCTGTAATGTACAATATAGTGTATGTAGTGCAGGAGTCTGTAATGTACAATATAGTGTATGTAGTGCAGGAGGCTGTAATGTACAATATAGTGTATGTAGTGCAGGAGGCTGTAATGTACAATATAGTGTATGTAGTGCAGGAGGCTGTAATGTACAATATAGTGTATACAGTGCAGGAGGCTGTAATGTACAATATAGTGTATGTAGTGCAGGAGGCTGTAATGTACAATATAGTGTATGTAGTGCAGGAGGCTGTAATGTACAATATAGTGTATACAGTGCAGGAGGCTGTAATGTACAATATAGTGTATGTAGTGCAGGAGGCTGTAATGTACAATATAGTGTATACAGTGCAGGAGTCTGTAATGTACAATATAGTGTATGTAGTGCAGGAGGCTGTAATGTACAATATAGTGTATGTAGTGCAGGAGGCTGTAATGTACAATATAGTGTATGTAGTGCAGGAGGCTGTAATGTACAATATAGTGTATGTAGTGCAGGAGTCTTTTAAGCTCTCCATACACAGTTAGTTGCAGCTGCATGTTAGGTATCCATTTTCTTGGTGTAACATTTTATTTTCTAGGGCCTTTGTGCCTATCATTTTTGGGGGTTCTAAGTAATTTTCTAGCAAATAATACTGATTTTTACATGTAGGAAAGAAGTGTTAGAATAGGCTTGGTCTTCAAGTGGTTAAAGTGGTTGAAAACCCTCACATATACCCAGTGAAGTGACTAACCTCAGGTGACACACAGAGATGAAATAAAACCTACATAAGTTGTACCTGTTTTTCTGCCGCAATTTCTTTTGTAGATCATTCCAAAAACAGAGCTTAAATTATTTTTCTCAGCTCAAGCAGCAGAGGCAGGGATCTGAAGTCTCACAGTGCCGATCTCAGTGGGGACAGCTCTAAGCCTTGATTGGAGGAAGGGAAGGGGCACATCCTTTCACACAGTACATGGAGTGCAAGCACAGCTGTTGATAGCAGTCACGGGTTGTGTGCTGGAACTCTCCTCCCCCATCACCTTTTTATCTCTTGGTTGTGGGAAAAGTTGCCAGAAATGATTCATGCAGATAACAGAGGAAGGAGGCAGTAGAAAGAAATCATACTCAGTGTTTTGGATAGAGACAAGTACACAGTATAGAAGAATGTGATTTGTTTATATTTTCCTTTATTTTCATCTAGTGATCCTGCCAATAATAAACTTCCTTTCCTACAGTGACAACCCTCACTCACTATACTAAATCTGTGAAAGAGCAGCTTTGTCCGCTACAGCGGGAACCGTGTAAAGACTACAGCAGACCTGCCTTACTCCTTTTCTTCCTAATATAGAGGTGATGTGTTCTGTAGTCCACAGAGAGAGCTTGAAACAACTCTAGCTCATAACAGCAAGTGCCGACAAGGTAGTAAGTTATCAACTCACGAGATTCTTGGCAGGATCAACAGGTTTTTTTTTGCACATTGAAAAGATATAAAAAAAACACTTTCAATTAGGTATTTAACCCTTTCCCATCACCGCCTCTCAGCCCTTTAGAAGGTTCTAAATGCCGGGAGGCGGAGGCAGGTATTCTGATCAAGTGATCACTGTGATTGGCAGTCGGAAAGCTGCTGATTGCAAATATGCATTAGGAGCCTTACGGTCCCTGAAGGTAACTGTGCTGGGAGCGTCCAGGGGGTGTATTCTCAACACAGAAAAACTGTTTACATATGGACGCATATATGCAGCCTCTCAGCCAGGGCGGACTGACCATTTGGAAACTCGGGCGCTGCCCGAGGGCCTGGGGTCGGTAGGGGGCCCCATGAAATGCCCCCGGTACCTTTTTCATAGGCTTTTTTGAGTTTGGGCAAGGACACAGGGGCCCCATGATCCCCTATTGCCCGGGGGCCCCATGAGTTGTCAGTCCGCCCCTGCTCTCAGCGTTAAAGCCCACTGAGAAGTTGCATATATGCGTACCTCCTGCGGGCACAGGTTAGCACAACAAAAGGAAACAAATACGAGAAGTTAATAGTTAAAGTGTTACTAAACCCACAACAGTAAAAATCAGTCTGTATATGCAGTAAAGCATGCTTGTTATACTCACTGTGGAACCTAAGGGGTTAATCCTCTGCATTGTGTAAAAGTCTGTTTAATCCTTTGTTCTCTGCCCTTCCTCTTGTTGAAATGACCACCTGATACAGACTGAACCCGTGGTCACATGCACATGCTCAGTTTGGTGTGTATTGCTAGAGAGGCTTTTTTTTGTTTCTTGGGAGGATGCATGTGATCAGCACAGGGCCGATCAGCACTGTCCAAACAGAGGGTCAGAGGTTTCACATCCTCCTAGAGCAGAAAGAAAACTCCTCCTACAAGCTTTAACCAGTGCTCTGCTGAAGTCACAATACTGCTCTAGCTGCTGATGAGAAAGGGTATTTAGCAGTTTATATTTACTAAAATAATTGCACTTCCATGTTTTGTATACTGTGGAAGACCAGATATATATAGTGAATGCAGGGTCCTGAGTTTAGTAACACTTTAAGGTTTACATACACTTTAACCTCCTAATACTTTAATACTCTTACTCATAACACTTTAAAGGACTTATACCTAACCCTTGATATTAACCCCAAGCCTGTCACATTAATAAAGATTTGGTAACCAACCACAAATGCATCGCTTGCGATCCTCTACTCAAATTCAGTCATTTCAGCAGACGCCGCGCCCCACAGCACCTCCATACGCCGCGCGCCCTACAGAACCTCCAGACGCCACGCCCTACAGCACCTCCAGACGCCGTGCTCTACAGCACCTCCAGACACTGTGCCCTACACACCTCCAGATGCCGTGCCCTACAGCACCTCCAGACGCCGTGCCCTATAGCGCCTCCAGACCCCGGCTTACAGCACCCACAGACTGCCGTGACTAGCCAGCAGCAGGCCCAGCTGCCCACCACTTTCCCTCCCCTCTCACTGATGAACTCCTCCGCCACTGCGCGACAGACTTTGCACATCTATATGCCCTGATGTGAAACTTTTCACCTCCCTCATTTGACCAGCACTCCGCTCACCCTCTTAATATGCCACCTGTACTCCTCCTCCTCGTACTCCTCTCCTCCATTCACAAAATCTCCTCCCTCTACCCCCCCAAAACAACTTTACATCGGACCCTCACTACTTCCCTCTCCCCACTATGGTTCTCAGCACCTCCTCCTGATACTCCACTCTCCCACCGACCCACACGCCACCACTAACAGACCCACACGCTCTTGCACATCCCGCTCCCATTCCACCTTTCTTACCCTCCTTCTCCTCCTCAATGCCGGGGACATCTCCCCGAACCCTGGCTCCTCACCACCTCACTCACCCGCTAGGCACCCTCCTACTCACACAAACCGCCGCAACCCCCTTAACCTTATACCTGTTCCCCTCCTCCCCGCACCCACCCCTCCACTCTCGGTTGCACTCCTGAACACCCGATCGGTGTGCAACAAGCTCACCGCCATCCATGACCTCTTTATCTCCCACTCCCTGAACCTCATAGCGGTCACTGAAACCTGGATCCGGTCGTAGAGGTGGTGGGGTCGGCATGCTCTTGTCACCGCTGAGCAACTTCCAGGTCCTCTCAAACCCCCCCCTCTCTATCCTTCTCCTCCTTCGAGGCCCACTGCATCTGACTCTTCTCCCCCACACCCCTCTGAGGATTGCAGTAATCTATCGGCCTCCTAGACCTATATCCCGCTTCCTTGACGACTTTTCCACCTGGCTACCCTTCTTCCTCTCCTCTGAGCTCCCCACCATCATCCTTGGTGAATTCAATATCCCTCTCAATGTCAACAACCCGGGTACATCCAAACTCCTCCACTTAACCTCTTCGTTTGCACTCACACAGTCCACACAGTCCTCCACCCACACCGACGGGAACACACTGGACCTCGTTTTCTCCCATCTCTGCACCCTCCACAACCTCACTAACACCCCTTTCCCTCTCTCTGACCACAACCTCATTGCCTTCTCCATCTCCCCGTCCTCTAACACCTCCCCAGCCAAACGTCAAACCTTCACCAGCCGTAACCTCCGCAACCTGAACCCAGCCCCCCTCCACTCTGCAGCTGACTGTACGACAGTATCCTTCCACTGGCATGCCCTGACCTGGCGACTGCTGCGTATAACAACACGCTATCAGCTGCCCTAGACTCCTTAGCACCCCTAACCACACGTAGCATTAGACCCCGACCGCTTCAACCCTGGCAGAACGACCACACTAAACATCTTAAACGACGCAGTCGCGCGCTGGAACGATTATAGCACAAAACCAAATCCTCTCGAGCATTCTCCCTCTACAAATCCGCCTTCCTCACCTACACCTCCTCCCTCCACGCCGCCAAACAGGCCTACTTCGTAACCCTCATCAAAACCTTCTCCTCCTGTCCTCGCCGGCTCTTCTCCACTTTCAACTCCCTACTCTCTCCCCCCCACCCCCAACCAGTACCTCACTCACCGTCCACAAGATTGCCATTCACTTCCAAAATAAGATCGACCAATCCGTAAGAACATTGCCAGCGCTCCACCTACCTCCCCACCTAGCCTCCCTCCCACTATAACCCCTCCAACTCTCCCCTCCTCTGACCTCGCAACCGCCCTGCCCCCCACCACCCTTAACATCCCTCACACTATAACCTCTTTAACACTCCGCTCCTTCAGCCTTGCCACCACTGAGGAGGTCACCAAGGTCTTCTCAGAAGCCCGCCTCACCACTTGCCCCCTTGACCCTGTCCCCACACATATCCTCCGGGCACCCTCCCCCTCCATCCTACGCTCCCTCACCCACATCTTCAATCTCTCCCTCTCTACTGGCGCATTCCCCTCCCCCCTAAAGCACGCGCACATCACCCCCATACTCAAAAAACCCTCCCTGGACCCCACTGACCTGAACAAACTTGGACCCATCTCCCTGCTGCCATTTACTTCCAAGCTCCTTGAGCGCTTAGTCTACAATCGCCTAAGCGCCCACCTCAATGACAACAACCTCTTCGATCCACTACAATCTGGCTTCCGTCCCCTACACTCCACTGAAACAGCCCTACTCAAAATCACTAATGACCTGCTAACCGCCAAAGCTAATGGCCACTACTCAGTCCTCTTACTCCTTGACCTCTCCGCGGCCTTCGACACAGTTGACCACCCCCTCCTCCTTGATAAACTACACTCCCTCGTCATCAGAGACTTCGCTCTCTCCTGGCTCTCCTCCTATCTCTCCCAACGCTCCTTCAGCGTTACTTATAACGCTACCACCTCCCCCTCTCTCCCCCTCTCTTTTGGGGTCCCCCAAGGCTCTGTCCTCGGGCCCCTTCTCTTCTCCATCTACAACTCCTCCCTTGGCAAACTGATACACTCCCACGGCTTCAACTATCACCTCTACACCGATGACACACAAGTTTACCTCTACAATCCTCAACTCACCCCTTCAGTCTCTGCTCGTATCACCCACCTGCTGAACGACATATCAGACTGGATGTCGCTCCACTTCCTTAAACTGAACCTTTCCAAAATCGAGCTCCTAATTTTCCCCCCAGTTCGCGCCCCCCCCCCCCCCCCACCCTCTCCATCACGACCAACAACACCACCATCAGTCCCACCCTGCAAGCCAAAGTCCTAGGTGTCACTCTAGATTCAAACCTGTCCTTCCAACCCCATGTCCAATCGTTAGCAAGCTCATGCAGGCTCCACCTCCGCAACATCTCCAAAATACATATGTTCCTAACCCCAGACACTACTAAACAACTCGTTCACTCCCTTATTATCTCACGTCTGGACTACTGCAACTCCCTCCTCACCGGCCTACCTCATCACAGACTATCCCCGCTTCAGTCTATCCTGAACTCAGCGGCCAGACTCATCCACCTTACCAACCACTCCTCTTCTGCCACCCCCCTCTGTCATTCCCTCCATTGGCTCCCGATTGCCCAAAGCATCAAATTCAAACTACTAACACTGACATACAAAGCCATTCATAACGCTGCCCCAAACTACCTCACCGACCTGATACCCAAATACCACCCAACCCGTAATCTTCGCTCCTCACAAGACCTCCTACTTTCTAGCTCCCTGGTCTCCACCTCCCACGCCCGACTGCAGGACTTCTCCAGGACTTCCCCCATCCTCTGGAACTCACTACCCCAATCCATCAGACTGTCACCTACCCTCCTCACCTTTAGGCACATCCTGAAAACCCATCTCTTCAGGGAAGCCTACCCCACCCTCACCTAACTGCCGATTTCCTCTACTCCTCCTACTACTCCATCCCCCACAGCCACTTCCTCCTGTGCCATTATCCCCTCCCCCCTAGATTGTAAGCTCGAAAGAGCAGGGCCCTTGAACCCCTTGTGTATTGTTTGTTGCAGTATTGTCTCATGTTCTGTCCCCCACTATAATGTACAGCGCTGAGCAAACCTTTTTGGTGCTATATAAATCCTGTATAATAATAATAATAATTTGCTCCTTTTATACTTTCCTGAGGTATGAGTATTATCCACGCCTTGGTTATATCCCGCCTCGATTACTGAAACTCCCTCCTCACTGGTCTACCGTTACACAGGCTATCCCCCCTTCAGTCTATTATGAATGCTGCTGCTAGACTCATACACCTTACCAACCGATCAACGACTGCTGCCCCTCTCTGCCAATCCCTCCACTGGCTTCCAATAACCCAACGTATAAAATTCTAAATACTAACCACAGCTTACAAAGCCATCCACAACACTGCCCCTAGCTACATCACCAACCTCATCCACAGACACCGCCCAAATCGCCCACTCCGCTCCTCCCATAATATCCTCCTCTCTAGCTCCCTCATCACCTCCTCCCACGCTCACCTCCAGGACTTTTCCAGAGCCTCTCCCATCCTCTGGAACTCCC